TCTGATCATCTCTTGCATCATGCCCTCAGTCTCTGATCATCTCTTGTATCATGCCCTCAGTCTCTGATCATCTCTTGCATTCATGCCCTCAGTCTCTGATCATCTCTTGTATCATGTTCACAGTCTCTGATCATCTCTTGTATTTTGTCTGCTGTCTCTAACCATCTATTATATCATGCCCTCTGAAGTCTCTGACCATCTCATGTATCATGCCAACATTTTCTAACTATCTCTTGAGGGATGCCTACAGCCTCTAACCATCTTTTGTATCTCTGACCATCTCTTGTATGATGCCCACAGTCTCTAACCATCTCTTGTATCTCTGACCATCTCTTATATGATGTCCAAAGTCTCTGACCATGTCTAAAGTATCTGACCATCTCTTGTATCATGTTTACAGTCTCTGACCATCTCTTGTATCATGTTTACAGTCTCTGACCATCTCTTGTATGATGCCCACAGTCTCTAACCATCTCTTGTAGAACGCTCATGTTCTCTAACCATCTCTTGTAGAACGCTCATGTTCTCTAACCATCTCTTGTAGAACGCTCATGTTCTCTAACCATCTCTTGTAGAACGCTCATGTTCTCTAACCATCTCTTGTAGAACGCTCATGTTCTCTAACCATCTCTTGTAGAACGCTCATGTTCTCTAACCATCTCTTGTAGAACGCTCATGTTCTCTAACCATCTCTTGTAGAACGCTCATGTTCTCTAACCATCTCTTGTAGAACGCTCATGTTCTCTAACCATCTCTTGTAGAACGCTCATGTTCTCTAACCATCTCTTGTAGAATGCTCATGTCTCTAACCATCTCTTGTAGAACCATGTTCTCTAACCATCTCTTGTAGAACGCTCATGTTCTCTAACCATCTCTTGTAGAACGCTCATGTTCTCTAACCATCTCTTGTAGAACGCTCATGTTCTCTAACCATCTCTTGTAGAACGCTCATGTTTTCTAACCATCTCTTGTAGAACGCTCATGTTCTCTAACCATCTCTTGTAGAACGCTCATGTTCTCTAACCATCTCTTGTAGAACGCTCATGTTCTCTAACCATCTCTTGTAGAACGCTCATGTTCTCTAACCATCTCTTGTAGAACGCTCATGTTCTCTAACCATCTCTTGTATCATATCTGCAACCTCTGATTATCTTTTGTGTCATACAGTATTTTCAGTCTCTGGCCATCTCTTGTATGATGCCCACAATCTCTAACCATCTCTTATAGAATGCTCATGTTCTCTAACCATTTTTGTATCATGCCCGCAGTCTCTGGTCATCTCTTGTTCACACTAGTGGCCGTGTTTTTACCACCCCCATTTAGCTGCAGATGCTTTGCTTTACAGCCATGGCAGAGAATATACCCTCCTGTCACTTTCGGCGGTGTGCAGGGCAATCCATTTAAGCAAATTGGGGCAGCTCTGCAAGTGCCCCATCACTGTGCACAGTCCATGTCTTTGCGACGTGCTACTGTGGGGTTCCGGGGGTTAAAGCAGGTCGCAAGAAGACAATAAAACATCTCCTCACCACATGTCAAATGCTCTCTAAAGAGCGATCTGAATGCAGATTGTCTTTCAGAGATCAAAGCAAGTGTGAACAAGCCCTGAGAGCGAATATTCACTTAAAGTGTTTACTGCACTGCGTCCAAGCACTGCTAACCAAACATTCTATTCAATTCATTGTTAATATTTCTGGCCGTGGCCATCTTGAGTAAGGGCAGAAGATTTATGTAGGATTTACTTCCTGGAATCCATCTGTGCTTAGCTCAGGCATATGCTGAGCTGAGAGCTGAAAACCCTCCTTCCCATCCTGAAGACTGATAGGGATGTATGACAGCATTTGCCTAGGCATGGAAACCTGAAAGTAACTGAAGAAATGTAAAAATAAAAGTAAAACAGAAAAATATGATAAACGTTCCTTTCCACTACAGACAAGGATTCATTACAAAGACCCCAGTGTTTACAAACAATATTACTTCCTTTTTTAATGGGACAGAAGCTCTTCCAATACATGCAAATGTAAAATAATAAACGTATGGGTGAATTATGTAATCTGTGTATAAACCGTACATGCAATAACCCGTAAAAATCACAATTACAGTACAAAAAAAAAATCACAATTACAGTATAAAAAAGTCCCTATTATTTCAAACAAAGGTGACATAGAAGGCTGTTGACATGCTGTATACAGAATCAGGGCTCTCCATGTACTCCCTCCTCGGATTGGTGTCATGATAGAGGAAGAAAAGTGGATGGATATAGGGATCAGGTCTCAGATAGAGGAAGAAAAGTTGGATGGATATAGTGCATCCTCCTGATGCACAGCCTGCTGGCCAACTCAAGGGCAGTGCCCCTGTTGGTCAGTGGAAAAAATTGTTCTCTATGTGACCTGTTCAGGAATAGTATGGAAAATAGTGTGTTGGTGTCAGACAGTGCTGCATTTGGAAGGAAAGCGATCGTTGGTGTCAACTCACAGAATAATCGTTGAGTGCGAATGTCCATCGTTGGTGTCAGTGGAAGGATCCACATCGTGCCGCATCACTGCCCATAGCCCCATCGTTGGTGTCATGGAAGGAATAGTGTTCGTTGGTGCAGTGGAACGGTTAGTGCCCCATTTGGTGTCTAGGCCAGGGATCTTCAACCAATGTTTCTAAAGGAAAGGCCCCATCGTTGTTTACTGTAAAGCCTTCACACTGTCAGAGAGAGGGCCTGACCGTGGCCAGTTGGGAGTAGGAAATAGTCATCATTGGCATCAGTGGGGGCATCAGTTGAAACAATGTCCCCATCTTTATTATTTATGGGAGGAATATGGGAATTGTTGGTTCATTAGAATTATTGCCCCATCGTTGGTGTCAGTGGAAGGAATAGTGCCAGTGGGAGCATTGTTTTCAGTGCTCGGGCACTACAGCTGTTGAAGTGCTACAAGTCCCATGCCTCTGTCTCTGGGAGTCTTGCCTGTGTCTGTCAAGTGGCCTCATGAGACTTGCAGTTCCTCAACACTTGGAGGGCCATAGTTTGGAAATCCCTGGTCTAGAGAATGGCAGATGGCGCTCCACTATGATCCTGGAGTCCTTACATCCAAAGCAGGACTATGGGCCCTACAGCAGCCTTGATGACGTCAGGACCTTAGACCTCTGTAACATAGAAGAGAAGATGCTGCGGGGACCAGTCTTGCAGCGCGGAGGATCGGGACAGTAAATCTTCTTTTCTATGCCACCTACACCTAAACGAGCCGTTAACCTTTGCAGTGCGGTTGCAGCCCCATCGGAAAGGAGCTCTCAAACTCCCTAGAATTCAGCTTTATGGAAGAATTCCAGGTTGGATATTTGTATAGAGTTACATTGATCCTATATAACTATGTATACACTATAAATGTGAGATCCCTGTGGAAGCTGGAAATCACTGTAACAGACACTGCCACTCCAGTGATTCCAGGTGCCGCGCTGAGCGGCCGTATGAACACAGGAGAGCTCAGCTGCTCGGCACAGATGCACGTTCTCAATGAATGCAATGCATTCCCATGTATAGTATATAGAAGATGAATACGGATAGATCAATGTAAGGCCCCATGTACGCGGGACACTTCAGAATGATGGAAACTGACTGCTGGAAAACGTAGGTTAAAAAACGTCTGTTTAGCCGCATTTGCATACCACGTTTTTTAAAGATAACCTCAGGAGACCTTCCAAAATGCACTGAAAAACAGTAAAAAAATAACTATTTCAGACATTTTGAGAGGAATAGAGAGAGCAGAAGCAGAGAGAGCAGTATGTGTTGAGATTAGCTGTCTTTTTTTTTTTTGTGGTGTTTGGATGTTCCGGCTCATTTCTGTGCAGAAATATTGCAGCCGTGTGTAACATATTTTCTTTCATGCGAAACCTCAAAGTATGGTGTACCGGGGCCATTTGAGTATCGGGAAAACGCTTTGCATGCATTTTTCATGATGAAAAAAGGCTCTGGACAGCATCTGGAAATGGAAGAGTTAAAAAAAAATTGCAAACGCCTATAAACGCGGTTAGCCGCGTTCACACACATTTTGCGCTTGAAATGCTGATAAAATCTACTCCTGAACGCAAGTTCGGTGCGTTCAAAAAAACGACTGTAAACTGAACTGCCTGTAAAGGACGATGTGTACATGGGCACATAAGAGAGCATTAGGGAGAGTTCAGGGGCTGCTGAAAGAAACGCAGAATAGCTCCTAAACGTCAGTTTATCAGCCGCAGTGTACATGAGCCCTCATCAGGGGCAGACTGACAACTCATGGGGCCCCCAGGCAATAGGGGATCATGGGGCCCCTGTGTCCTTGCCCAAACTCAAAAAAGCCTATGAAAAAGGTACCAGGGGCGTCTCATGGGGCCCCCTACTGACCCCGGGCCCTCGGGCAGTGCCCGAGTTTCCAAATGGTCAGTCCGCCCCTGGCCCCAACCATGTAAAAATATCCATGCCTGGAATTCTTCTTTGGGCTACATTCATACCAGGGGCGGACTGACCATTCGAGCACTCGGGCACTGCCCGAGGGCCCAGGGTCAGTAGGGGGCCCCATGAAATGCTCCTGGTACCTTTTTATAGGCTTTTTTGAGTGTGTTTTGAGTGTGGGCAAGAACACAGGGGCCCCATGATCTCCTATTGCCTGGGGCCCCATGAGTTGTCAGTCCGCCCCTGGTTCATACCAATGCGTTTCCTAAAACACACAAAATTGTAAGTTCTGCCACTCGTTTCGGAACAAATCCGCAATTGCAGGTCTCACCTGCGGTTCCATTCATTGCACCCCAAGCACAGGTAGCTGATGCATGTTTTGTCGCGCACCAAAACGCGCTACTAATGCAAAAATGCCCGACCCTCTGTGACCGAAGAGGTTCTGGAGCTACTTTGGGGCATTTGTTCTGCGTTGGGCAGCCCATTTAAGTGAATGGGCTGCCTTAGGCATGATGCGTGTTAACGTGTGTTCCCGGTGTGAATGGGGCCTTAAAGATAAACCTATGATGCCAGGGGCGGATTGACCATTCGGAAACTCGGGCACTGCCTGAGGGCCCGGAGTCAGTAAGGGGCCCCATGAGATGCCCCTGGTACCTTTCACTGGCTTTTTTGGGTGTGGTTTGAGTATAGGCGAGGACACAGGGGCCTCACGATCCCCTATTGCACGGGGGCCCCATGAGTTGTCAGTCCGCCCCTGTATGATACAGTCTTTCACTGGAATTACCATACAGGATTTGTCCTTCTGAAGCCTCCCTGTAGCTTACCCTATGACTAAGCCCCGGTGTGCGGGGCAGAATGCATCAGGGTGTGTGGTTGGTGGAGACATGTACGCTATGGCCACTCTTTATCATTTAGTCACCTGGGCTGGTCAGGAGTAGTGGCACCCCTTTCCTCTTTAGGCCCCTTTCACACGGGTGTTCCGTTTTTTTTTCATCAGTTTAGACTTGTTTTTTCCAAGAAAAACGGATCAGTTCACAGCAGTTTACATCAGTTTTCATCAGTTCACATCAGTTTACATCAGTTTTCATCAGTTCACATCAGTTCACATCAGTTTACATCAGTTTTCATCAGTTCACATCAGTTTACATCAGTTTTCATCAGTTTACATCAGTTTTCATCAGTTCACATCAGTTTACATCAGTTCACATCATTTTACATCAGTTTTCATCAGTTCACATCAGTTTTCATCAGTTCACATCAGTTTACATCAGTTTTTCATCCATCTTTAATCCGTTTTTCATCGGTTTACATCTCTTTTCATCCCTTTACACCTGTTTTTTTTCGTCCGTTTACATCCATTTTTGTCAGTTGACATCCGTTTTTGTCCATTTACATCCATTTTTGTCCATTTACATCCATTTGGTCCATTTGCATTAGTTTTTTGTCCTTTCACACAAGTTTTTGTCTGTTTACATCCTTTTTTCGGCCTTTCCATTTTTTTGAACGGAAGAAAAATAGGATTTTCTTCCGTTCAAAAAAAATGGATGTTAACCGATGCGGACATTAACAGATGTAAACAGATGATCATCTGTTTACATCCACTAGTCCATAGAAATACATGGGTGTCCGTTTTTCATCCGTAAACAGACAGATGAAAAACGGACATACAAAACGCCCGTGTGAAAGGGGCCTTACCCTCCCTGTTTATTACCTACTGATCCTGCCAGTAGATCCACTTCCATTAGCAGGTCAAGCAGAAGTGGACCTTACAGTTGGGATAAACCATATAACCGGGGTGCTTACAACAGCCATCTTTAATTCTTATGGTTTCATCTATTTTTCTCAAAAGAACATGTTGCTGTAAATGCTTAAAAGTGTTAGCTGGAGTTGGGCTCTAATACGTTTCTTCCTTTTTTAAAGTCCAACTACACACAGTGACAACGCTGCTGTGTGATTTGACTTGAAAATGAAGTGTTGCCACCTTATTACAGGAAGTGAAGAGTAACAGACCTACTTGCAGGATCAACAGGTAATAAAACGATGTTATAGGTGGACTCATAAACTGCTGTGTTAATGGACCGTTCCATGCTTTGGGTCATGGGAAGACCTGGTTATATGGACAGATCCTTTCTATAGGTCATGGGAAGACCTGGTTATATGGACAGATCCTTTCTATAGGTCATGGGAAGATCTGGCTATATGAACAGTTCCATTCTATAAGTCAAAGGAAGATCTTGTTATATGGACAGTTCCATGCTGTGGATGATGGAAAGATGCGTTTATATAGACAGTTACGTACTATGGATCATGGGAAGATCGGTTTATAAAGATAGTTCTGTGCTATGGACCATGAGAAGATCTGGTTTGATGGACAGCTCCTTGCTATGGGTCATGAGGTCTGGTTTTATGGAAAGTTCCTTGCTATGGGTTATTAGAAAGTCTGGTTATATGGACAGTTCCTTGCTATGGGTCATGGGAAGGTCTGGTTTTATGGACAGTTCCTTGCTATGGGTCATGAGAAGGTCTGGCTTTATGGACAGTTCCATGCTATGGGTCATGAGAAGGTCTGGCTTTATGGACAGTTCCTTGCTATGGGTCATGAGAAGGTCTGGTTTTATGGACAGTTCCATGCTATGGGTCATAAGAAGGTCTGGTTTTATGGACAGTTCCATATTATGGGAAATGGAAAGATCTGGCTATATAAACAGTTCCGTGCTATGGGTGATGAGAAGATCTGGTTATACGGACAGGTCCATCCTATGGGTCATAGGAAGATCTAGTTATATAGACAGTCCCATGCTATGGGTCATGAGAAGATGTGGGTATATGTACAGTTCCATACTATGGGTCATAGGAAGATCTGGTTATTTAGACAGTTCCTTGCTATTGGTGATGGGAAGATCTGTTTATGTGGACAGTTTTGTGCTATGGGCCAAAAAAAGATCTAGTTGTGTGGACAATTCCATGCTATGGGTCCTGGGAAGATCTTATATATGAACAGTTCTGTGCTCTGGGTCCTGGGAAGATCTTGTTATATGAACAGTTCCATGCTATGGGTCATGTGAAGATCTGGTTATATAGACAGTTCTGTGTTATACATCATTAAAAAGGCAGGGTATTGTATTTCCAAAGCAGCTGAGAATTAACACATGGCCATTGTGTTCTTTGGTAATAATATGGTACATTGTAAGGTCAAAGCCCTTGGTACTCTTTGGATAGTTCTTCAGGGATGATGCAGCATAGCGATTGCAGTAGTGATATCAGAAACAAATCAGCAGGTCCAAGATTGGCGTAGAAAACAGTGCCATCATTGTGGCATCACACAGTCAGTAGGGTGATGTCCCCTTTTCACACCCAGGCCTTGCTCTCTTTGGGGCTCTCCTTGGCCGGGGTTTTCCGCACGCCGCCTCCTTGGTACATGGCCCGGCTGTAGGGCAGGAAACAAGAGCCAAGGTGGAAGCTGCGGACGATACGAGCGTAGCCAGCCAAGCCGAGGATCAGGAAGGGCAGAAGCAAGGCCAGTCCAAAGACCAACAGTGCCACACAGGCTGCCGGGGTCAACATGGCGGGGCAGAGGGTCTCCTTTGGTTGGCGGAACTGGGGAGGACAAAGAAAAAGAAAGGGTTAAAGCAAGGCATGCCAGAAGGAATGCATAGTTATACTTTTTTGGAATGCTAGGTACTGAACTAGATGAAAGATAATTAAATGGTCAGTCTACCCAAAAGCGATATTTGAGGAATGGGTGGAACCTGATGGGCCCCGCCAGGTTTTTATTGCTGTCTTTCCATCTCCTCCCTTCCTGGAGAGAGTCACCCTCTCTAGTTGTCCAACCAGATAGAAAGTGATGGGAAATCCAAAAATGTACCAGAATTGGAACAGGGAAAACTGTTAATGGGGACATCCTGTTCTGGTGACCACTATCTAAAGCTGGCCCATACGCTAGTTACACGGGTGTCAAACTGGCAGCCCTCCAGCTGTTGCCAAACTACAAGTCCCATGAGGCATTGCAATATTGACAGGTACAAGCATGACTCCCAAAGACAGAGGCATGATGGGACTTGTAGTTTGGCAACAGCTGGAGGGCCGCCGGTTTGACACCCCTGTGCTAATTTAACTTCATTTGAAATCCTTTGTTTTTAGAACATTTGTTGAATTTTCTACTCGTTAGGTGGGTCATTTCAACCTTAGCTTTGAAGAAAAAGAAAATTTTTGTCAAAATGAACACATTTCTAACAGTGAATGTGGTTTACGTTCAGGATATTCCATTTGTTCCAAAACTGAATGTTAAAAGCAAATGAAATTTGAAGTACTTATAAACAACATTCGCCGAGTCATCAAACGTACTGAGAGTTTTCGAACAAATGTCCGTGCGAAAGTCTACTAGTGTATGGCCAGCTAAGAGGGCTTTTCCTTTCACTCTTTCACTCCCTGTGGGGTCAATTCCCTAAGAGATAAATATCACATTCATGTATGCATGAAATGCAAAGGAGCAAGGACAATGTTTAACCCCTCGCCCTCCTGAGACTTTACCCCCCCTTCCTGACCAGGCCATTTTTTGCGTTACGGAACTGCGTTACTTTAACTGACAATTGCGCGGTCATGCAATGCTGCACCCAAATGAGATTTGCGTACTTTTTTTTTTCCCCACGAATTCAGCTTTCTTCCTGTGGTATTTGATCGCCTGTGCATTTTCAATTTTTTGCGCCATTAAAAAAAAGACCGACAATTTTGAGAAAAAAAACAATATTTTTGACTTTTTTGCTAATAGCAAAAAAGTCAAAAATATTGTTTTTATTCTCAAAATTGTCGGTTTTTTTCTTATGGCGCAAAAAATTAAAAATGCAATAAACATGTCCAGTAAAAAAATGTAAACAATCAAATTTCACCATAAATTTAGGCCAAAATGTATTCTGCTTCATGTCTTTGCTAAAAAAAAAAATCCCAATACGTGTAAATTAATTGGTTTTCGTGAAAGTTATAGCGTTTACAAATGGCGGTATAGATACAGGAATTTTTTTTTTTTCTACTACCGTAGTAATGGCAGCGATCAGCGACTTATAGCGGGACTGCGGCAGATATTCTGACACTGGGGGGGAACTGTCTTGGTGTCACTGGCATCCCCAGTGACACCAATACAGTGATCAGTGCTAAAAAAAAAAAGCACTGACACTGTACTAATGGCACTGGGGAGGAAGAGGTTAACATCTGGGGCGATCAAAAGGAGTGTGCTGGGAGCAGGGGCGAACTGACCATTTGGAAACTCGGGCACTGCCCGAGGGCCCGGGGTCAGTAGGGGGCCCAATGAGCTGCCCCTGGTACCTTTTTCATAGGCTTTTTTTGAGTTTGGGCAAGGACACAGGGGCCCCATGATCCCCTAATGCCCGGGGGCCCCATGAGTTGTCAGTCCACCCCTGGCTGGGAGTGTTTTACTAGGGGGTGGTGTGTTGGTGCTTCACTGTAAGCACACTGCTCTGGATGGCTGTGTTGTGCACAGCCATCCAGAGCAGTGTGCCCAAGCTGACAGGGCAGAGAACTGCTTTGAAAACAAAATCGTCCTCCTCCCCGTTGGAGATGCTCGGTAATCCCGGTAATTGAGAGCCGCGGCCAAGAATGGCGGCGTGGGTAGGGCACGCGCGCGCCTCTACCTGGAAATACAAAATCACGTATATATATGCGTGATTTTGCGCACCCCTGCCGCCCTGTAGCAGTATATCTGCTAAAAGGCGGTCGGGAAGCAGTTAAAAAAACCTGCTGTGAACCATACGAGGACACAAGCCCTCAACACGGGGGATGGGGGGGTACCCAAGTTGATGAAGACAAGGACTTCTTGCCTACAACCCTAACCCGGTGGTTGTGGGGGGTCTGTGGGCAGGGGGCTTATTGAAATTTTGGCAGCCCCCTTTACCAATAAGGGGGTGTCTAGATACTGGCCTTTCTTTCTTCTTGGAAAACCCCCCTTTCCAGCAAGGACACAGACAGAAATACAAACCCTATGGGGGTTCTAATTTTTGCCCTACTCCATCCAAAATGAAAAAAAGTTTTGGCTAGAGTTATACTTTAGAACTCAACCCCAGCCTAAAAGGAGAAGCTCCTCAGCAGAAGCAGCAGTAATAACCCATCACAGGCTCCAACTCTTTCCAATCTGCCTATGTCTCCACTGGGGAGATTTACATCATTTCCTGTTCCAGTGACCATAAAGGAAGTGGGGGGAAATCTGCCCAACAGGATCACAGCCAAATTAAAAAAAAAAAAAATGAAAGGTGTTCTAAACCTCCCCCCCTTCAGTCCAGCACTGTATGGAGTTGCACTTTAAGACTTTGCATCTGTAATGATTTGCATTCATCAGCATCTGGGTGTGTCCACTGCTAGATTAGGTAGTTAATAATGGTTAAGGCTGTCCATATGGGCAATTCCCCCCCCCCCCTTCCCCCTGGAAAACACTTATTGCATTTTTGAGACCAAATCTGAGGATTTTTTTATGCAAAGCAGTAAACATCTATTGGTGGTACTATGTTGTTGTACAGATATGATCTTCCAGTTTATGTTTTAGGCGAACATAACATGACGATTTGGAGAGGGAGTGAAGGCTCCATGTGGTACCAGCTTCTGGAATGTGTGAAGGAGGCACACACCTCTACATACATTGGAACGTGGAGGCTTGTATCTATACACAAACTCCGACCTAAAGCATGCTACAGTACTGAAGAGGCATCCCAGCTTCCCTCGTGTGTTATATTCCAGCAATGCAAACACTGGAAATATCAGATCCTAGTATTAATCTCAGGGGACAGAAGGAGGAAGAGAAAAGGGTGATTAGACTGCAAACTTGCTTGATTTGTTTATAAATATTGCTTGAGGTGATTGTAGCCGTATTAGTGCATTTGCGACAGAAACAATTGAGTACTGTCCGTGATACTCTTTTTATTTGCACTAACATACAATTTTGAGGACAAGCTTTCGGGGTATGTCCCCTTCTTCAAGACACAGACATACCATCAAGGAACATAAAGAAGATGACCTCTGCACACCTGTAGGACACCATTTCTCACAACCAGGCCACAATATGGAAGACCTCAATATTTTAGTTCTGAAAGGAAAATTTAAATCCATCCAGGAAAGAAAAACATTTGAACTAAGAATGATATTTCTATTTGACACTAAAGATAACGGTCTTAATTTGGACATGGGATTCCTCAACCACTATCCGACAGCTTTATGACTATCAGCTAAAACATGACCCCCTCTGTGTGAGTGTTGTATCCCCCCTCACTTTTGATGTATCTTATCTGTAGCCCTTTTTTTTTTTTTTTTCCTCTCAATCCATTCTAACATTCTGCTTAAACTTTGTGATTTTTAATAGTACTGCTTAGACCTTGAAGAAGGGGACATACCCCGAAAGCTTGTCCTCAAAATTGTATGTTAGTGCAAATAAAAAAAGTATCACGGACAGTACTCAATTGTTTCTGTTTATAAATATTGAATCTGGTAGAACAGACTTTCTCCAGGTAAGACAAATGAGGTGCCATCAAACACTAACCAGAGCGCCATCAAACACTAACCAGAGCGCCATCAAACGCTAACCAGAGCGCCAGCAAACGCTAACCAGAGGGCCATCAAACGCTAACCAGAGGGCCATCAAACGCTAACCAGAGCGCCATCAAACGCTAACCAGAGCGCCATCAAACGCTAACCAGAGGGCCATCAAACGCTAACCAGAGCTCCATCAAACGCTAACCAGAGCGCCATCAAACGCTAACCAGAGGGCCATCAAACGCTAACCAGAGCGCCATCAAACGCTAACCAGAGCGCCATAAACCGCTAACCAGAGAGCCATAAAACGCTAACCAGAGCGCCATAAAGCGCTAACCAGAGGGCCATCAAACGCTAACCAGAGCGCCATAAAACGCTAACCA